CTCTTCAATACAAAATTGTCCTTCTATAGGAACTTGGAAAAAAAAACAATGATCATAGACAAGATAACATCTTTTAATTTCTTGCATAGTGGAGGGCGAATAATTGTGATTAGGATTAATGTTTTTTATTATAATTGACAATAAATATATACTACGGATATATGGTTAGCATGTAATGTCACTACGGTTATTAAATTCATGAAATGAGCCGTGACTTATCTAACTTAGGGTCCGAATGGTGACATCAAATTTAGCGGGATGGATAAAAAAATTGTGGAAAGCGGTATAGTACAAGTGCGGATCGTGTGGTATACGGAACTAATGCAATTTGTGTGAAAAATGCGGAACAAAACAATGTTTGATTGGTGATTTAAACAAATGTGGTGTGGATATAATAATTTTCTTTTGATATATATTTTGTTTGATATTTTAGATGAACATAATTTTCTTTTTCAATCTTAATACAAATCTATAAGCCAGAAGGATGTATTATATATATTTTTCAGAATTTTTAAACTAAAAAAACATTAAACAAAACCGTACCGCATTTTAAACCGTACCAAAAGAGCTTATAGAGTTCTTTATATTTTCAAGGATAAGGACCAACAAAAGTAATTTATATTTGTACAGAATGAAACCCACCCCTAAAACCCTTGTCTTTCTAGGGAAATTTGGATATGAGAGCTTACAATTTTTATAAAGAGATAATGTTTATCACCGATAAAGTGAATTTCCGCATCGGACTAACATAGTACCTTTGGTTACAAACTTTCAAACTAATATTTACGTTGAGTTTGTAAGCTAAAACTAAGAAATTTTTTAGAGTTAGAGATACGAAAAATCATAGTACTAAAACATCTTATTGCTAAAATATCTTATGATGATTTGAAATGGAACGAGTATTAAACCATATGAACAAGATAAAGACATGGAAAAAATCTGATTTTGTAGCAATAATTGGTGAAACATATCATGCTTAAGAAAAAATCAACTTATTGAAGAAAATAAAACAAAATTCAGAAAACCTTTTCCCGTCACGAACAAAAAGAAAATTGTATTTTCTTTTTTTTCGACCTTTCGATCATTCGAGAAAGAGAATATTGATTAATGAAAAAAAAAACCAAAAGCACCCATATACGTAGCAACATGACAAGTCATTATCAGCCACGTAGATAGGTCGGTTCCGTTTCGCTGGATATACAGCGATATTACTTGTTTAGCCTGTTCCAAAAATCCATTAAAAACAAATTTAAATCTCCACCAGCTCCAATCACATAATTTCCAACAAAACTAATAATTTACTTATAATTTCTTAATAAATTTCTCAACCGGTAACTAGTCACCACAATGTCGCCACCTCAGATATAAGTAAGAGCGAAGAGTAGACCAAAAAAATTCATCAAAATCCATCTCTCACTCTTCTAACATCTCCAAAACATTTAAACTCAACCGTCCGATCATGCCGATCAGAAACATCGCCGTTGGCCGGCCGGAGGAGGCTACTCGTCCCGATGCTTTAAAGGCGGCGTTGGCTGAGTTCATATCAACTTTGATCTTCGTTTTCGCCGGTTCAGGCTCCGGAATGGCTTTCAACAAGCTTACCGATAACGGAGCCACCACTCCTTCCGGCCTCGTAGCCGCCGCGTTGGCTCACGCCTTTGGACTCTTCGTTGCTGTCTCCGTCGGAGCAAACATCTCCGGTGGACACGTTAACCCTGCCGTTACTTTCGGTGCTTTCGTTGGTGGTAACATCACTCTCCTCCGTGGTATCCTCTATTGGATCGCTCAGCTTCTCGGCTCCGTCGTCGCTTGTCTCCTCCTTAAAGTCGCCACTGGCGGTTTGGTATGTTAAATTACCCTTTTACCTTTTCTTTCTTTTTTCGACACATTATAAATGAACTAAACTAGTAATTGCCGATAGGTTTTGAGTTGAAATCTTGTAAAACAAAAACTCAATATTCGAAGTATTTTACGTTGTTTGCCCTAACTTCTCCGTCAAGTAACTAATTTAACTCTCTTGTTTCAAGGTGGTTCCGGCTTTTGGCCTCTCTGCCGGAGTGGGAGTCTTGAACGCCTTTGTTTTCGAGATCGTGATGACATTCGGGCTTGTTTACACCGTCTACGCCACCGCGGTGGATCCTAAAGCCGGGAGTCTTGGAACCATCGCTCCGATCGCAATCGGTTTCATAGTTGGAGCCAACATCTTAGCCGGAGGAGCTTTCAGTGGAGCATCCATGAACCCAGCCGTGGCTTTCGGACCAGCGGTGGTGAGCTGGACTTGGACTAACCACTGGGTCTACTGGGCCGGACCACTCGTCGGAGGTGGAATCGCCGGACTCATCTACGAGGTCTTCTTCATCAACACCACCCACGAACAACTCCCCACTACCGACTACTGAAATTAGTCTCTCTTTTTTTCTCTCATGTGTCTTTTCTTTTGTCTTTGTATTTTTATGTCTTTTGTCTTTTTCACGTTTGTGTAATTTCGCTATCTTCATGGATTTATGACTGTTGGATCTTCTAGATGAATCGTTTTCCGTTGATTTCAGTTGTGGTAATTGGAACTATAGTGTGAATTGTGTGAAGCGTTTTTTGTGTTGCAATTTCTGTGTCCAAATTTGTCTTCTTTTTTTCTTATAAATAGTGGAAGTTTCGAATTTTGGCTCATAAACTCTGCGGTATCATCCGAAGGCAGCTTTTAGATATTCTTATTTAAAGAATAACCTTCCGTAACAAAAGAGATTTATGAACGGGCTGTGCCTAGGGTTGTATGGACCAGAGACGATGTTTAGAAAACATTTCAATTCAT